TGGAAATGTTACGTCTTCATGAGCACTTACAAATATTTAATTCTCACATAAAGGATAAACAAACTAATAAAAATCATTTCCAAATGGGAACCATGATAGATGGTTGGGAGTGTTGGAAAGTCTTTTCAGTGTTTATTTTTGTATTTCATTTTGATTTTTGAGCTATATAAATATTTTGCCTATTCAGAAATTTTAAAAGTGAATATACATACCTACATATAAACATACATTTGTGGGAATCAGGTTTTCGTGTAACTTCATAGCCATACATAGGAGTCATAAAACCAGAAGAGCATTCCATTGAATATACAAAGTTAAGATGTTTTCTTCTTTAACTGTCCAGTATTTTGAGACAGTGTTCCTGGTTTGTTAAAGTTGGTCTGTGTCCTCAGTTGAGTAGACTTTATTTGAAAAGGTTAGTTCAACTAGAGATAGGGCATGATTTTAATTGTAGTCAAGGTATATACTGTTATGTGACTGATAGGTAGTCTCTCTGTCCTCTGACAAGCTTTCAGAGGAAATTTCAGGTGTTGCTTTTACAGTTAGTTTCTTCAGATAGCCCAGAATGGGGAGAGGTTCTTTTTCTTTTTCAAATCCTGAGTGCTCTGAAGCTTCAAAAAAAAAAAAAAAGGGGGTTTATGAGTCCATTCTTAATAGTTGGAATTTTTTTTGACAAGAGTAACATTTCTTTTTAAAAGGAAGTTTCCTTTGAAGTAAGTTAATTGTTTATTTAGAAGACCAACTTTTGTTGAGTACATGTACATATTGTTTCTGAGGCTAAGAATTAGTTTAAGAGCCAGTAAGGAGATTAAAAAAAATAATATGTAGAATATAACTTCCAAGAGAAGACCCAAGATATACATTTTCATAAAATTTTAGGTTATCTTATTTATGTTTTAAATAAAAAGACATTATGCTGACTTAATTTCTTTTTTTCTGACTTAACATCTTAATTATAAAGGTAAACATTTATTTAAAAAATGATACTACTTTATGCATCATTTAGAATCATTTTTCTAACAAAAGTCATTTATTACCACAGCAAAAAGTATTAAAATGTAGTAAGTCAAGATGTTATTTCCTTTTTCCTGAAGAAACTTTCTAAGTGCTTAAATAACTGTAGGGACACAGTTTACTTGTAATAACGTTAATGGGGAGGGTAGAAGTTAATTAACTAGACCCTTAATAATGGGCCTTTCTAGTCCAAAGAATCTCATAATTGCCTCCAAAGCTAGTTTTGTAGCAAATTGCAAGATGAAATATCTAGACTTGTGTAGTAGTCATTCTAAGAAAAATGTTGCCTTCAGGCAAACTTTGATGCCTTTTATTATTATATAGAATATGTTTCTAATGTCAAGCAGTATACTCTGTAAAGATAAGTTTGTAAGTGGGAGTCCAGTGCCTCCTGTTTACTCATAATTAAATGGACACGTAATTATAAGACTCTCCAATGAGCACAGTTTTTGTTCTCTTTGGAGAAATTGAACCTTTCAGCTGGACTTTATATACTTAGTTTGTTCATCATAGAAAGATATTCTCAGGATTACTAAGGACTGACAGTGTATGGTAATTTTTTTTGAAGACTGTGTTTTAAATGAATGGGATGGAAAAGCATAGGGAATATTTATATTAAATGTTAATATAAGAAATATGCAGGTTGAAATATAACTTATTACATAATTTCTGCAAATGCTGGTATGTTCCTAGCTGGTTTACCTTTCTGTAAATCACCCTTAAAGAATCTCTCATTCTTCCCTTTGCAACTGCCTATCTTGGACTGTCCAAGCTCCTTGAAAAATCTGATCAGCCTATGCCAGGACTGCAATAGGGTAGCGGTTAGTGAACATAGACTGCTTCGCTTCTTTTGGGAGGACCAGATGAAAACATATTCCATTTTCAAAATGTTTCTGAAAGGACTTATTTGTGGAAATGATGCTTGCCATTTAAAACTCTTCAAAAATGCAGGTTTTACAAAATGTAAAAATAACCTCCCGAAAGTTTGAAAGGGGAGAGGGGGGCTGTGGCGTGGGGGCGGTCTCCTTGACTGCCCACCCCCTCCCTCTGTTCAGCGCGCTGTGTGCTTACGGGTTCCCTGGAGCGGATCACCATATAATTGATGTGCAGTCTGCATTGCTGAATCCTGGACTGCACCATTCTGTGTTCAAGGGAAGATGTAATCTGATCCCTCTGCTGCTGAGGGAGGAATCTCTCCAGTCCAGGCTTTGACAGGGCAGAGTCTCCTCCAATAATCTTCTCGGTTCTCTCTCATTATTCCCTCGAGTTCTCCTCAGTCAAGCTGCATGTATGTATGTGTGTCCCGAGAAGCGGTTTGATACAGAGCTGCATTTGCGTCTACTGTGGAGTTTTGTTGCCGGTTCTGCTCCCTAATCTTCCTTTTCTGACGTGCCTGAGCATGTCCACATTAGAATCTGTGACATACCTACCTGAAAAAGGTTTATATTGTCAGAGACTGCCAAGCAGCCGGACACACGGGGGCACAGAATCACTGAAGGGGAAAAATCCAGAAAATATGGGTTTCTACGGCACACTAAAAATGATTTTTTACAAAGTAAGTAAGCTGTTTTCTTCCTGTGTTGTATGACTGTGTGTGTGTGTGTGTGTGTGTGTGTGTGCCTGCCTGAAAAGGAAAATCTGTATCATCAGAGATGGCTGCAGTATCCTCTAATTTTGGTGGGTGGCTGGATGTCTGGTATTCTGTTTTATATCGTGAATGTAAGCAAATAATGGAAAGACAACATGAGCTGAAAAAAGCTTTACATTTAAAATAAAAATGAGTATTTTAATCTGAGAATTTTTCCTCTAAAAATATATTCGTACTTTAGAAACGTGGCTCTGTTAAATGCTGACCTGGAAATACTCTACCCTTAGTTAGCTTTCAGTGAACCTTTTTGCCTTTAATTTTTCTATGCCTTGTATTTAGGGTGTTTTTTTTTTTTTCCTTTAGTTGCCTCTCTTAAAGTGTAGAATCACTAGAATATTAGGGATTTATGTTTAAAGAGATTTTATTGACTTTCTGCACCCCTTCAAAATTGCAGATTTAATTTTTGGTTCTTAAGTCAGTATTTTTAGTAAACAATATAATAAAAAAAGACTTATATAGTCATACAGAAAGTGCTTTATTTTATCAAATATTCTAAATTTGAAAGTCCTTTCTCAGTGGTTCCCTTGAAATGAATTTTGGGCATTTTTATTCACTGAAGGATTTCTAAGATGGAAATAAAGTTTGCCTTTAGTGGCAAATGGTATTTGCACCATTGTAATTACAAGATATCCCGGAAGTTCTGAAAGCCAGTATTCCTAACTTAATTACGATGAATATCAAAATTTATCAACATAATTTTGAAAATGAGTATCCATAGAAGTTATAAAAAATAGATTTTTAAGGTAATCTGTACTGACCTTCCTGATGAATAAATTTGTGTGTGTGTGTGTGTGTGTTCTATAATTTATATATGTGTAAACACGTGGCTACCCTATGTATTGAAGCATTTATTTTTGCTTTTTATTAAAATTATTTGGAGAAAGAAAATAATGGGTTTTGAGAGGAGTCACTTTAGAGCAGTGTTATAAGTACAGAAACTTCTTGAAGGGTTGAAATAAGACCAGTTCCATATCTTTCAGTCGGTATTTTCGTGAACTAAGGTATAAATTGTGGATGAGCTTGTCATACCCTCATGTCTTGCCTTTAACATTGTAAAATAATCCCTGTGTTCTAGAAGAATTTCTTCATGATGATAAAAACACAGTTTTTATTATCTTGAATATGATTCAAAAAGATTTTCAGAGTCTTCTTGGTTCTTTTTAGTATTTACAGTGTAGCATGCTGTGTTATGGTGTTCCCATGTGAAGCAGTAGGTAAGAAAATAAGGCTACTGCAAAGCTAGGGTTTCACCTTATTGTAAAATTGAGGATAACTTTCTATCACTCTGGGGATCCCCCCTCCCGTTATTTTCAGTAGTATAGTAATTAATTAGCAAGCACAAATCTTAGAAGGATTACTAAAATATAAGTTGTTGAATTTCATCAGATTTTATTTTATATAGTTTTATAACATATCTATAGTAAGATGACCTCCATTAACCAACAGTTATAAAAAGTAGATATTTCAGTATTGATGACAAAATGTAATTCTGAATATATTTGCAGTATTCCATATCTATGTAGTGTAATGAAATACTTTCAAAACTACAAATGTTGGATATACCTTACAAAGATGCATAACTCATTCTTTTAAAATCTTTCCGTTTTTCTTGTTGGTTTTCAAGTTAGTATATTTTGTCCTGAGTATCTATAATGTATAGTCATAGAGCTGTATATTCTGTGTGAATATCAACGGATGGTTTTTTCCTACCTTTATTGTATTATCTCTAGATTTCCCTCTTATTATGGGTTTACTGTTTGTACTGTCCTCAGTGCCCACAGTCATTCTTTATGCCTTATCATAATTACTTTTCAAGAGCATTCTATTTACATTATTCTCTTTACCCTTTTGTAATAATGTGTTTTAAATCACTGACTGTTACTTCCATTCTAATTTTGAAATTAAATATGTCTTTTAAAGGAAAATGAAAATCACTAAGAACAGCATGTTGAATATGGTTCTTTTCTGTGTGGGTTAACTTGACATATTCCCATGTATTGGTCCTTAAACCAGAAAATGTGAAAGGTATATTACTCTCAAGGAATATATACGATGGGTATCAATTTTTAAACCACCATACCTTATTCTTCTGCACAAATATTAGGGGGAGAAATTCACTTCTCTAGTCTTGTAAAGAGTAAAACAAAGTAGAAATAATAGAAGAAACTATGAAACATTTATTTTCTATATGAATTAGCTGTGCATAATTAATATTGCAGACATATGAAAATTTAAGGGTTTTTTTTTTTTCAGTATTACTGGTGCTAACATTAAGATTTAATAATTGGACAGGTGATTTTTTTTTTTTTAAACATATCTCATTTGTTTTACCTTATAGATGAAAAGAAAGTTGGACCATGGTTCTGAGGTCCGCTCTTTTTCTTTGGGAAAGAAACCATGCAAAGTCTCAGAATATACAAGGTAATATTAAGTATAATTTGATTCTCTCCCTATTCTCATGTTTCTTTAAAGAGTTGATTCTGAAAAGCTTTCATTCACTTTATTCTCATAGAGTTACAATGTCACTAAATACTGTTGACTATTTAGCACATTTTGCCATCACTGAAAATTGGGAAACATACATTTTAAATAAGGAGAAGAATGACTACCACTGTGGGTATACATTTTGTTACTAATACATTGAAGTAAGACACACCCAGAAGTTCTCTTATCAACAAAAGTTTTAAATTATAATTTTGAAGGAATTCTAAAAAGTAAGTCCTGATATATGGATATGAGCAAATGTATCTTGTTTCTATAGCAACAGCTGTTCGAGGGTAGATAGTTATATATGGGTAACTGAAGATACATTTAGTAGCAGTGAAATAGACCTCACAATTACTAACGAAATCTTATTTCATGAGGTTACTGTGTTAGAAACCGCCTTTTATTTGCTTTGTAAGCCTAATGTTTTTAACACATAAATTTCCACACCAGTAGAATAGTTTCCATAACAACTAAATACAATTGTAGTCTTGTTTCCTGCACCATTCCATCATTTTTGGATTTTGCATCAGTATAAAACTTTTCCTTCTCCCACACTAATTAGGTTAACTTAAGCACAATATCTATTACCCAGCCAATTAAAAATGGCTTTGGATGTCATTTGGAATGTGGTGTTTTAAATTTTAAATGACAAAAGCATCTTAAGGGCTTATTATGAGTCTTGTTGGCATATTTGTCACTTCAAATAATTGATTGAAAATTAGATATAGAAACCGTAGGAGCTTTGTGATGTGACATTTCTTTTTTTCCCCTCAAAATTTTGATTTAGAGTTATTCTTTAAAATGCAATAAAATTAACATTACTCAGACTTGTGATTAAACATTGTTACAGATTGCATCTCTTTTCTTCCAGGGAACAGTTTATACTTTTATTTCATTCAGTTCTGGAAAATATTCCTTTCAGATGCCTTTTGTTGAAATTTAGAAATCATGATAATTAGAACAGTTTATATACCAAAAATGCAAAAATGATACAGAAGAGAACAGTAAGGCTATTTCTTGCTTATTCAGAAAATACTTTTTGTTGTGATTTTCCCATGTTAACTGACCCCCTCTCTTATGCTTTGCCTTCTGACAGTTTCACTGTGTTTTGGCACTTTCACCAGAGGGTGTGGAGTGATAGATGAAACTGTTCACTTCATTTTTGCTTTTCTCTACTGGTCTTGGTAAACTCTTTCTTGGATGAGAATGCTGAGTTTAATGTTTAAAGTAAGCTATTTTTTTAGTGTATAGATTTCAGTCAACCATATAATTTTGGTCTTCTGTTAATAAGACTAATACCAGGGCAGAAGTATTAAATGGTTCAGTTGTTTTTAAGGCCATTTATAAATGAATGCTGAATTTTTACCATAGAACACATTTTAGTAAAGTTTTTCTTCTGTCACTCACTTTTTTCTATTGAGAAAGTACCTGCAAAGGAGAAAGTTTTATTTTTAACCTTCAACACAGTCTTACTAAAGAAAACCAGGCAGCATATTGATTGCCATGTCTTTTTAGAGACTTGGTCAGTGTATATTTGATGTTCTTTAATTTTGTTGAAAGATTTTCTAATAATAAAATGAGACTATGATTTTTCATTATTTTTATTAGAAAATTTAAGTTACAGTCACATTCTATTTCATTTCAGAGGAGAAAATAGAGCTTACCTTTAAAATTTGATAGAAGAAAAAATAGATTTAATTGTTTTATGTTAGAGACCATCTTAGATGAATAATGTTAAAAGATTTTAAAGTGGTAGATATGAAGATTTTTCTGTATTTTTCTGAGATGCATTTATAAGCAAAATAATGAGATATGCTAGATAGAAAAGAATTGGGGTTACTTCATTAGTAATTTTTCAGACCTTAATAGGTAACTATTAGGATACAGTTTATATGTTCTTTGAATTTTAAACACTGTACTGTCTTAGCTCAATAAACTGAAGATTACTTTGCAAATGTAATTTTGTTAACTGAATCTTCCTGCTCCTTTTTTCCACACGTCTCTAAAATAGAGATGTTTAGTATTTACTTATTTTATTAGTTGGCAGAATCAATTGAATTTCAGATTTGTGGTGTGTGTGTGTGTGTGTTTACTGTCTCAGAATTTAAATTATTGGATAATGGTATTTTGATGATCTCATTTCACTTAATGTTGCTTATAATATGTTCTCACTACCTACCTATTTGAGTAAATACATTTCTAATCAAGGCTCACTCCTTTTTTTTTTTTTTTTTTAATTTATTTCTTTTTTCTTTGGCTGCACTGTGCAGCATGTGGGATCTCAGTTTCCCCACCAGGAACTGAACCCTGGTCCCTGGCATTTAGAGCATGAAGTCTTAACCCCTGGGCCACCAGGCAAATCCCTCAAGGCTCACTCTTATCAAATACTGTATAGACTAAGCTTAATAATAACAATAGAAAATTAGAGAATATACAAATATAAATAATTTAGAAGGCATTAGGGGCAAACTTAAGGAATAATGTGGCCAGTGAAATGTCTAAAGCCTTTGAATATACTACTACTTATGATATTTTAAAGCATTAATAAGTCTTCCACCCCTTTTTATGAAAGAAACTTAAATTTTTATTTAATAATGTTCCTAAAGACCAGTCATAAGACAATTGGAACCTGAATCTTCTAAGAAAGTATTTTGAAATTATTGGTGTGTTATCAACAACTTGCAGTTTTGCCATAGAGATTCTACCATTTGGTTGCAATTAGCTGTGCTGGGATGAAAACAGCTGGTTACGTAGGAGGGAGGAAACTTAGCTAAGAATAGCAGAATAAGTTTTGTGTCTCCTTGCTTTCTGGGAATAAGCAAATACAAATAAGAATTTGATGTTTGAGATACACCATATCGCTCATCAGAGCCCCTAGCCCTTAATAAATGTCTCTCTGCTCCACCCTTGCACTTCTGTAGCACCACTGGGCTTGTGCCATGTTCAGCAACACCAACGACTTTTGGAGACCTGCGAGCCGCCAATGGTCAAGGGCAACAGCGACGCCGAATTACATCTGTGCAGCCACCTACAGGCCTCCAGGAATGGCTGAAAATGTTTCAGGTGACATGGCTAAACACAGTACTTGAAATGCTTCACTTAGTTGCTGTGGCAATAAGGGATTATTCAGCCATGGAAAGGAACATGCTACACCATGGATAGCCCCTCAAAACCATATGCTAAGTGAAAGAAGTCAGACACAAAAGGCCACATAATCTGTGATTATATGAAATATCTAGAACAGACAAATCCATGGGAGACAGAGGGCAGATTAGTTAGTGATCGCTAGGTGATGTTTGGAGGATAACTGCCAGTAGGTACTGCCCTTCTTTCAGGGGTGATGGAAGTGATCTGGAATTGGACAGTGGTGATGGTTACACAACAGTATGGATGTGTTGGGAGCTATTGAAGTGTACATTTATATGGTGAATTTTATGTTTGTGAAGTATATCTCAATTAAAAAATGCTATTAAATACAAGGGAACTCAACTTTAAATTTTAAGTGTATTAATCAAGAGGGTCCAATGCTTATTTCGTGTAAAGTGTCCATTTGCACTGTTCATTGCTTTTTAGATAATAAGGTATTTCTTTTTCTCTTTTATGTTTGGATTTCTGGTGTTAGTGAATGTACTTTTTTCTAAACTGCATGGTTTGGAAGTTAAGCATTTAGGAGTGTTAGTCACTGGTAGTAACTTATCTATCACTGTTACCCTCATAGCCTCCAAGAGTTGATGCAGCTTTTTTCCATAGATGCCGTGCTTGTATGTAGCTTATTGTGCTCAGAATTCTGATTACTATATTTTACTAGCATATAAAGTTTGGGGAACTTTACCAGGAAGATTGGTTACAACCAAACCTTGAATCTTAGGAATTTTTCAACTCATGATAGTGATATTAAGTTAATTTATCTCTTCTTCTACTGAGATAATGCATAGAAATCAAGTATTTAGCAAAGCAGTTGGCATGGATTAAACATTCTTTGTAAATAGTAAATAATATAAAGTATGTAAAGTGACGGTCTCTCTGATTATAGCCACCATACTAGTGTAAATGAATATATTTCCTTACGTCTGACTGTTCGATTGATGGTATTTTTTGAATCCTAGGGGAATAATGGTTGAAAAAGAAGATACTTTATGGATTTTGTTTGTTTCTGATTTTTAAGTGCCCATTTATATAAATCCCAATATTTTAAATACTTGAGCAAATACTAAATGTCCCAGTTTTTTTCTTCTGTAGCTGGAAAATGTACCTGAAGCAATGTTTGTTTAAAATGGATTTTTAAAATTGTTTTCTACTCTTCAGGTAATTTCAGAGAAACTAGAATAACCTTTTTTTTTCCAGTTGATAACTGAAAGGTTAGAGTAGCACCTCTCAACAGGGGGCAAATATTCCTGTGGTTGAAACATTTTTAGCTGTTGCAAGGCTGGGGTGCAGGACACGGCTGGCATCTGATGGTGGAGTCAGTGTGAAGGACAGCCACCCTCAACACAGAGTAATCTAGCCCAGAATAGCAGCTACTGAACTTGAGAATCTAAGGCTTCAAGGCATGAAAGTTGCACTTCACTGTTAAGATGTTATGAACACTACAATCACAAAGCTGTTTGTTTTGTTTTCATAGTCATTTGTTAATTAAACTTACCTTTTATAAGAATTATTCTCTCCCCTCATCTAAGTTCTTTTACCTTAGGTTCATGATTTATGTTATTTTAATCTTTTCCTAAACATGCCCTCAGAATTCTAAATTTTTTGTCTCATCCTTTTAAAAAGAGGTGTATTCCCCCCATTAGAGGTGAAAAAAGACTTATAGTGCCTTAAAGAAATGCTTTAGCGGTTGTATCATCTCTGATTGAGCCGAGGAGACAGGAACATGAGTGTGCATTGTCATGTTTATACACACATACAGTGTGAGGAGCGCAGCACTTGAGAACATAAAGTACTGATTTCATGTGATTTTTATAGGAAAGTACCAACATGATGGAAAATTACACTGTCAGTAATAGTTTTATCATCACTGTAGACACCCTCCAAAATACTTATTTTATATGCAAAGCTTATCAGAAGGTAGTCTAGACTGTAATTTATTTTGTATGGGCCTTTTTTTTCCCCCCAGTGTTTCAGAGTTCCAGAATATTCTTTGCTAGCTATTTAGTTTTACCAATTTTAAGAGAACACTCTCAAATGCTAATCTATAGTAGGGAGCTTTTGTGCTCTATTTTGCATTGAGGGTGTGTTAGGGAATCCTTTGTTCAGTGTTTGCTTGTTTAGCACACTCATGCTTTTCTTAATGAAATGTCGTCATGTTACCATGTACTGTATTAGGTCATCAGATCTGAGATACCATAGATTATTAGATGCATCCCAACTTCAGAAATGTTAATTGTAAATTTAAAATAAAATTGTTTAGAATGAATGAGATTTAGTAAACTAACATATAGAGTTATCCCTGAAGGCTTAATACTGTATTTTTTTCACATAACTATTCTGTAGCAAAAAAAATTTACTAGCAACAGAAGGTCAGCTAGATAAATCAAGATCTTAATCCTTTGAGTACCATGTCTGCCTGACACACCCACGGCCTCATTGTAGTGCCTCATATCCTTTTTTTTCAGGGCTGGTGCCAGAGTAACTAGGAATGAATCACTTGCCTAAAGGCTTGCAATGCTTTAATGCTTAACTTGGAGAGAGATAATTTCATAGTAAAGTAGGGGAGTCATGAGTTGACCTATGTAGTATAGTTGAAGGATAATTAAACAGGCTTGATTTCTACAGATGTGCTGCGGGGCATTTAATGATGCCTTTTCTATGGTATAACAAGCAAAATGGGAGAACTTGTCCCCTTACTGTTCTGCTATTGCTCCTAAGACAGTGATACAGCATGATTTTGGTCCAGCTCCATCTATTCTGACAAAGTACTCTGTACTCAATTTATAAATGGAATAAGAACAAATGATATACCATTTTAGATAAAAGGAAATTGAAACAGAATGCCACTCTGAAATAGAAGTGCCAATTAGAAACAAAACTAAAAAAGTCCAGAAATTTTGTATTGTTTGAATTTTCAGTTGCCATTGATTCTTTTTTTTTTGGCAACACCAGATTGATGCTTTCAGACTGTTAATTTGGGAGTAGAGGATTGGTCATTTTTTTGTTTTGTTTTATGTCATTTATAATATATAGTTTTTCAGTTGCAGATGTTAGACTAGGTAAAGGTATATTAACATTCTCTGAAATTGATATTCAGAAGTATCCTGATATAATGAGAAGCACTTTGACTTAGAAGGAGAAGCTTTTAGTACCAATTCTGGCTTTGCCTCTTAATAATTGGGTAATTTCATTGATATTATGTAACCACTCTTGCCATTGTTCTCATCCTCCGTGAAACAGATATAACACTAAAAAGTTGTCAAAAGAGAGAAAACGTGTAAAAGTGCTTAAAGCTATACTTGAAAATACAGTAGAAACTCAGTAAAAGAAGTGTCCTTTGTGAGCCTGTTTTCGCAAGTCTAAGAAGAAGCTATTAACACTAGCTTCATACAAATGTCATCAGATTAACAGTATCAGCATTATTTTAATCAAAGCATATTTATATTGTATTAAAACTATGATGCACTTTGAAAATACCTGTTATACTCCTTAATATGTTTTCAATAATAAAACAAAATACTTCTGTGTTTTGAAATTAAAAGTGGAATAAAAACTACTCTTTTGGAGGACTTAGGTTTTATGGTAACACTTAGAAATTGTACATGTTTTCTAACTTATTTGGATCTCTTTTATTTGCTAATTAACAAAATATTAAAACAGAATAGTGCCAGAAGTAAATGAATACAAAACTACTTTGCCGTTATATTTGAAACAGCCCTATCAAGAAGCCCTTTTAGGTGAGAAAGAGTGGAAGAAGGTCATGTATGTAGCCAGAGAGGACTAAGGGAAAATGTTTCTGTCTGACATCTTGAAGACTTCTATGTAAAAGTAGAATCAGACTGTTTATTGGTTTCTTCAGCAAACAAGACCTGGATCATATTCTTCGAGTTGGATTTTGTTGTAAATTTGAACTTTACAATTAGAACTGACCCAGAGAAGAATGGAGATTCTAAGTATTCTAGTCCTGAAACTGTTTAAACAGACTAGATAACCATCTTCGGGAGATATTAGAGAAGTGAGTTCTTCATCACATGAAATTCAGGTGCTAAACTGCCTAAAGTCATAGAGTATGTGTATCTGAATGAGATACCAAGGATCGTCCCAACCAATAACCACAGCTCGTTTGTGAATCACCGCATCACTACTGGAGAGGTTGCTTATTTAAAACATAAAATGCCCTCAGCCCCACCTTGACCCCTGAATCAGACTCTTTGATGGTGGATTGGAGGACTCCATGAATCTTGCACCACTCAGCCAGCACCTGGGAACCACTGGTCTGGCCAAGCCCCTCATTATACCCAAGGTGGGGTCTCCGAGACGCAGACTAATTAAGGGGCTTCCCTGCAGTTGTGCAGTGAGTTGCTAGTGAAACTAGGCCCCTGATTACAGTTCAGGGCTCCTTCTACTCGTCTCGGCTACTTGCAGGTACTCTCTAATTATCTGAAATCAAATAACACTTTCATGGGGAATTTTCAAGTTTGCATTTTAATTTTGTACACAAATTTTGTTTATCTTGATGATCCTTTCTGAATTTGGAATGTTTTTCCTATCCCCTTCAATATGTTCCACTAACTTTACCATGTAAGACCAAAGGAAAATGCTTTTTTCTTTATAAGAACAACTACTTTTCAGAGCAGAAATAAAATAATTATCAGACTTTCCAACACTTTTTCAGATAAAGAAGCTAAGGACTGCAGAAGTAAGTTCAGTTCAGTTGCTCAGTCGTGTCCGACTCTTTGTGACCACTGTGCAGCACGCCAGGCCTCCCTGTCCATCACCAACTCCCGGAGCTTACTCAAACCCATGTCCATTGAGTCGGTGATGCAATCCAACCATCTCATCCTCTGTCGTCCCCTTCTGCTCCTACCTGCAATCTTTCCCGGAATCAGGATATTTTCAAATGAGTCAGTTCTTCG